GCTCCCCGTTGGGGAGCTCGTGCTGGAAGCCGGTCCTCCTGTTGCTGGTGTGTGCTTCGTTAGGGTTGGGCAGTGCCGGTCGTGTTTGACTTCACGGGCCGCGATCAGTGCCTGTCCCCTCAGCCAGGCATTGCCTCTTCCTTTCTTGGCGCTCGCATTTCCGCACCTGGTTCCGCGCACAGCATGCAGGGAGGCAGTGAGCTGGCTCGTTGGACCCCAAGCTCACTTTAAAGGCTAAAGACCCAGTTCCCAAGTGCTCCCTCCAAGGCCACTCTCTCTCTTTTGTTAAGATATTGTGAATTCACAACCTTAAATGCATCTGTCTTTCACCCCACTGCCGTTGGTCCCCTTGCCGGTGGCCCAGTGTCCCCGAGCATGCACTTGAGCAGTCTGGAGCCAGCCTTTCCCTGCCACGGCCCGGGCTCCTCTGGACAGACGGCAGTCGGTCTCCACACTCTGGGCTCCAGGGGCAGCTGCTGCTCGGGGCCTTCGTAGTGGGCAGAGCTAGGGTGCCCGTGTAAGAACGCCCAAGTTGACTTGCAGCCCACCGTGCCTGCGTGCTGAGCACACGGCCTCTTCCGCTGCTCTCCGGACCTGCTTTCCTCCTCCAGGATGTCGCAGTGCTGGAGCTGGACCGTCCTGTAGATGCTCATTTGCGTGCAACACGTTCTCAGGAGGGGCCTCCCACACTGCTGCCTAACACGGTTACGGAAGGATGGTAGAGTGCATCTGGTCTGTTCCCCAGTCCCTCACCCTGTGGTGAGCGCAGTCTGTCCCCAGGGTCAGAGCACATGCCATTGCGTGCGTCCCTCCTTCGTGTTCCTTGTTTGGTCTCGCACCCCAAGCCAGGATGGACTGCTCCCCACTGACCACTTCCTGTGCTGCCCTCCGAGTGGTTATGTGAAGCTCATTCTCGAGGAGCATCTTCAGGAGGGGCGTATGGGAACCCTGTTCTCTTAGGACTCTTGGTAAAAGCTCGCTGCCTAACAATGCAAAGATATTTCATCTGATGTAAAACTCATGGCTTACATTTTTTCCCCTAGAGTATATAAATATGTTCATCCATTTCCTTTTATTGTAGTTTAATAATCTGATTTTCCTTCCATTTTAAGTCACCTAACTCACCTGGCTATGTAAATACGTTTTTTCTTTAGATAAGATTTTCATTAGAGGGACCAGCAGAGGGCATAATGGTTATGCCACTGGATTCCCACGTAGTTGACCACGGCTTGAGTCCTAGAGCCAGCAACTTAAAACTCGTGCTGGGCATGTGTGCATGCGTGCCCATGATCCTGAGGGGAGGACGGGGGGGAAAGGATTGCCAGTGTGGCTGTACCCCGGGGGTGATCTCTCACTTTCTCTCTCTCTCCGGCAAGTACATGTTGCTCTTTATCTGTTTTGTGCTCAGTTTTTCCTTGTATACTTAGGTTTGTGGCGTATCCTTTTAATAAGTAGTTTCCAACATTTCCCTATGCTCTGCCCCTTTCTGGAGCATCTCCTTGAATTACTTTCTCGTACTCCACTTCACTGCTTTGCTTTTCTTCTTTGGAGTCCTATTATACACATATTAGAGCTGCTTTGCCTGTCTTTTGTGATGATTTTTCTTTTCTTTTTTTAAGAATTATTTTATTGGGACCAGCAGTTGGAGTAATGGCTATGTTGCTGGACTCCCATGTGGTCGACCGTGGTTTGAATCCTGGACCCGGGTGGCTTAAACTCATGCCGGGCGTGTGTGTGCGCGTGCCCAAGATCCCGAGTGGAGAATGGAGGAAAAGGGATTGTGGTGTGGCCATCCCCCCGGGGGGTGATTTCTCGCTTTCTGTCTCTCTGTCTCTCTTTGTCTTTCTGGCGAATGCATGCGCCTTATAGTAAAAAAACCTCTCCAAAAATAATTATTTAATTTAATTTTATTTATTCATTCTTTTTTTTTTTTTTTAAGGGGTTTTCGCTATAGGGCATGTGCATTTGCCAGAAAGACAGAGAGACAGGAAGCAAGAAATCACCCCTGGGGGGGGGATGGCCATGCTGCAATCCCTTCTCCTCCATTCTCCTCTCTGGATCTTAGGCATGCACACACATGCGCCCGACGTGAGTGAGTTTAAGCCACCGAGTCCAGGACTTGAACTGTGGTTCACTACATGGGAGTCCAGCAACATAGCCATTATGCCAACTGCTAGTTCTTATTAATTTATTTTTAATTTGACGTGCGCGTGCAAGAGAGAGAGAGAAAGAGAGAGAGAAAGTAAGAAAACAAGCCACCAGGTCTGGGACTTGAACCATGGTCGGCCATGTGGGAGTGCCCAGTGCCTTAACCACCATGCCACCCGCTGGTCCCTGGGATGCTTTTTCTTGAACTCTATTTTGTTCATTTCATTTTTCCTTCATATTTGTTCTCGTTTTGTTTCTTCAGTCTTTCTGTTATGGTTATGCCCAAGTAGTTCCTTCTAGTTTAGTCATTCTGAAAATTTTCTTTTTGGTTTCATTTTTATCCTAGTGTTTTTGAATTCTTTCACCTCATTTCTGTTTTTTCCCTCCTAATGCTGGTTTAAAGTTCATGATAACCAATGTGTATATCAGCTGCACTTGCTATCGAAAATACTTAGATTAAATGAGATCTTTAGCGAGTCAGTAAAATGTGCAAAAGAAGAAGGGGACACGGGACAGCTGTAGAAGCCAGAGACGGTGCATCTGAGGGTGGGAGGTGGCGGTGAGAGGTGGGGAACAGGGGGGGGCAGAACACGTGAGAGACGGTGCTGAGGGTGGGAGGGGGCGGGGGGAGGGGGGGGACGGGGGGG